CGCTCCCCGGAAAGCCAGGTGAAAATACGACAAAATGACGGCTTTTAGGTAGCACCACCACAGTAATGTAAGCCACAGCTTCGAATGGCCAGGGAGGATTTCTTGGATATAAGTGAATATTCTGGATTTAAATGACTGGTTGTCTTTAAAATGCATTTTCAGCATAAAATTTGTTTTTGGTGACATCTAAATATGATCATTGGCAAATTCGAAAACATGGCCAGAAATCACATGCTGTTGATTATGAAGGTCAAGGCCGCCATTTTTTGTAAACATTGCTTTTAATACAGCATGCACGGTAAAAAAGAAGTCATTTTACAGGGGGGTACAAACTTTTAGCAGTAGCAAAAAATCTACCTGGTTGAGGACTATTTCTTTGTGATATTTTGCATGTATAGGAGTTGCTAAAGCAGAAGACGGTGTTCCTTTAGCCTGTATATTTGCAGATATTTTTTTGCCAGAGGGTCGAAATGTGTGTGTTGTTTGGGTCTCGGTCACTGTAGATTTTGGGCTTTCAACGGAATGAATTGCAAATTTTTTGACTGCCTGCCTATTGCAGATGGGATAATTTCTTTGTAGATTTGCAATCTTATGTCATATATGTTCTCAACAAAATGTGTTTTCTTTTTCCAGGTTGTGTAGTTTGGTATCAGAATTATTAGACGTATTGCTTGTAGGACATTGACGGCAGGAACTTGAAATTAACTGTGGAGTGCTACCTTATCGTACTTTCGCTCTGCGGGGCGCAAGGCGAAAACACGATAAAACGACAGTCACCGGTGCTTAATCTAACATAATATCTTCGGCTATATACCCCCATGAAATCTACATATATTCAACTTCAGTCGGATGCTATTCATTATCTTTATAAGGGTTCATGCTTTTATATACATTTACATATTTTTTATCAGAACACAATTTGTCAAGTGATAAATTCCTCTTCCACTAAATTAGAAAACAGTCTAGTTTTGTCTTCGAAAGAAATGCGAAACAATGTATTCATATTTCTTTCAGCTGAAATCTCCGTTTGGTTGTTGACCACATTTGCGAAAAAATTAAACGAATAATGAATTGTATTTATGTTATGAAAAGAACTTCTTAAGTTAACATGTAATAGCTTTTATGTTGAATTTGTAATACAAACTGTATGACTGTGCTTAGGAAAGCTTTATACGGCTTATCAATGCTTCCTCAGTCTAGGCACACTATTCAAGGGAAGTAACCAGTACAGAATTCAAATTACGCTGCTCAAAGTTGTTCACATTTCAAGACGAGTAGTTTATCGTACAATACAGTTCTTTTGAACGAGTACGCAGCTGTCAAACCTTTCTTACAAGAGCCGTAAGCCGAGTCTAATATATAGGTACCTATGTAGTCTTTTTGTAGTGATTGCATTCTATTTAGACTGATTCCAGTATACAGCATAATCAACCTTAGAAATATGTTGCCTGCTTAAGAATTTATTTTTAACAGCTTACTGCGATATGCAGCCAGACTACAACTTTTAATCACCTTTAAAAAAATTCTATTTCATTTAGTTTCGCCCATTGTTTGATCATTTAGGACACACACATTCAATTACTTTGGGACCATACGACACTATTCAAGAGATGGCACTAACAGATCACATTTTAAAAGATTCAATAACTGCTGTCTGAACACAGTAGCAAATGTTTCAGATCAAATATTTGCAAGTTCATGTTCAATGTGGAGTTCTCTTAAGCTGCTGATGTGGGCCAATTTTGACCTTTGAACAAACTTGGTAGACATCCATTAGATGTTTCATGCTAAATATCTTATTTTTTGCTTTTGGATCGTCACAAGACTTTTTTTTCCTATATACATACAAGGAAAATCAATGGACCCTGGGACAGGGTCAATTTTGACCCTAGGGATTTACCTTGAATAAACTTGTAGACATCTATTAGAAGATGTTTCATGCCAAATATCTCTTGGATTTCACAAGATTTATTAATTTTTTTTACTATATACATATACGGAAAATGAATGACCCCTGGGGCAGGACCAATTTTGACCCTAGGGCTTTTATTTGAACAAACTTGGTAGACATCTTCATGCCAAATATCTTAGCTCTAGCTCTTTTAGAACAAGATTTTTGTAAAACAATCTTTCAGATGCCATGGCAACCATAGTTCTTCATGGAATTCAATTCTTCTAACAACTTTGGTAGAGCTTCAAACATCCCTGCAAAGTTCAACAAATCCCTGCAAAGTTCAACAAATTTGGCCATGTGGTTAAAAGAGTTGTTTAAAGAAATTGTTGACGCACAGACGATAGGCCATCACAATGTCCTCAGGTGAGCTAAAAGAAACTGTTGTAACTTAACCTAGTTATTAACATATCAACTAATGAATTCACATTTGTTTAATTATATCAACTATAAATTTTCTTATTTTTGGAAAAAACAAAACACCACAACAGTGGACAGTAATTTTTCTCTTTATTTGCCTGTTGTCTAGTTGTAAAGTACATATCAGGACTTGTATAAATAAAACAGTGTGTATGTTTATTCCTTGTCTTTGCTTTTGACAACATTTGTACCACGTAGACGACCCGTTCTTCTGGCAGCAATAAGACCGACCTGTAATACACAACCAGTGATATATATCAAATTTTAGCAAGTTCTGCCTTTAGCATTTTAAATTGTTCAAGAATTAGGTTTATTCTAGAAGAGGTAAATATTACTAGACAGAGTATCAGTGCTAACAAATTTTTAAGGCAGAATGTCTCTAGATTCATTCTAATTTCAATGAAAATTTTACTATTGTATTTTTAAGTATATTGTGACTGAATTGAACAAAGAAAATATTTTATGCATTGCAATCCACATCCACATACATTATCGAGGTAAGATTAAGCAAAAATAGCCCTTACTGCATTAACACAGTGCGATTAATACTACAAAGTCAGTCCTTAATCTCACATAACAAATTATTACTAGAATTTTAAATCTATTTACTTTTCTTAAAATCATAGAACATTTTTTTTTCAAGTTTAACTTTCTTGATATATTTTGGCTCATCTAGAGGCATGCAGCTTTAAGGTAGAGTTTGAATAATTGAGGCAAAGAGTTCAACAAAATCTAAGAATCTTAAAATTCTATACAATGTTCATCTTAATAAATATAAGTCTTGGGGATTTGAAGAGAACAGTATTTGCAGAAATTTACAATGTTCATCTTAATAAATATAAGTCTTGGGGATTTGAAGAGAACAGTATTTGCAGAAATTTACAATGTTCATCTTAATAAATATAAGTCTTGGGGATTTGAAGAGAACAGTATTTGCAGAAATACAGTCATGGTATTACTGGACATACCACCTTCAAGCTAAACATCATGTTTAACATCCACTTGCCTTCAGTAATCTAAATCTATGTGATGTCACAAGTAAATATCTAAGTGGTGGCTCAGAGATGGAAAAAGAAGTTGGATGCAAACCTTTAACCCAAGGCGAATTTTAAAGGGTTTCAACACTATTCTACAAAAAGTGAAGGTAAAAAAGCACATGACTTACCTTTTTACCTGCAGAGCAGTCACGTCTGACTGTTGAAGCTTTACCAATATGCTGATGGTTACCACCACCATGGGGATGCTCTACTGGCTGTAAAAGTTAAAAACATTATTAGAAATAAACTTTGATAAAAGTACAGATAAAAAATTCAACTTTCATTTATAAAATACTTTGAACAGCTTATTGCACTGAAAACACATTCAATCAAAAAACTGCAACAAGTGTGCATGGCTTGAACATACAATTGTCAGTAGGAATATGACAATCACTTGCATTGATTATTTCTGTCACAGTGTAAGACTATAAGATGCTATTATATCAGGTTTGTCTAGTATCTCATATTAGCACAGTCCCTGATAATATGTTCCTATTACTGGGAATGATACTTCCACTTCTAAACACTTCAACTGGGCATGTAGCCATGTCACAGTTCTTGATTTAATAATGTATGTCAGAGGTAAATAATGAGCAGTCTTAAAGAGAAGACTTAAAACACTTTACTGTTAATATACAGACAGAGTTTCCAGGCCACTTTCACATCTTTTCTGCTTCAAGTGATAAGATCTTTACAATAAGAGAGTTCTAGCCAAGTTATTATAGCATCAAGGTATAATTGTGTCTTCTGTTAATACCCCCCCCCCCCGCCATCCCTTAATTCTCAAAGAAACAGATCAATATCCTCCTCCACACACGAGACATGTACTGTCTGGCTTTACCTATCAATATGTGTCCGTAACTGGATGCGGTCAACCAATGGCAAAGTCCGATATAAAACAAATGACATATTGATTTTCTTCAGACTTCTTTAACCCTGCTAGAAGCTGAACCACATAAGCTGTTACAAGCAGTCTTACTCAGATTATGAAATTTTCATCAATGACTTTCAGGTCAAAGTGAAGAAATTTTTTCAATCATCACTGTCAAACTCTAGTAAATGCAAGATCCAAATATGGCGTGCCATAGGTCTTTCTTGATACTTGTTTACTTACGTTCATAGCAACACCACGAACTTTGGGCCAGCAATTTCTCTTTGCCTTGTATTTGTGATAGGCACGTCCTGCCTTCAAGATTGGTTTGTCAATACGACCACCGCCAGCAACAATTCCTGTTTAAAAGAATATATCTAGATTCAAAATCTGATGAGTAATTATTACTATACACTTTTCAAATTAAACCTTACACTGCTGGAGTGAATTTTATAAAATCATGTGAAAATACCAAAATTTATCATTATTTCTGTTAAATTTCAAACCAGACATAGGAAATTGCCACAAAACCAAATCATATCGAGTCTGCTAATCCTAAGTAACTGTATCACAAGTTTGACAACCCTGACATATTCAATATGTGTCAAGATACTTGATGGTGATTTTGCAAATGTTGTAACTTCAGGTATGAAAGGCATTACAAGAAGAATCATGTACATAGAACATTTATTTTCAGGTTTCAAAATATCTTGTAAATGTTTTTCAGATTTAAAATTTTTCATCAATGACATTCAGGTCAAAGTGAAGAAAATTTTTTAATCATCATATTAGACAGCTTTTAAAAGCACATTAATTATAGGTTATCCTATCCATCTTAAACTTGCTGCAACTGAACATCATACATACTTCAATAGATATCTGAATATAAAGTTTTCAATACATTTGACTTGATCCCAATTTTGTTCACTACAAAATGATCATCGTCGGATACCCACGATTGATAAACATGTCACATAACATGCAATCAACCTTGGGTAAAATGAATCGATTTGTGTCGATATAAAGCAACAGGTGAGTAAAATATCTACTAATGACATCGCGTTTAACAAATCTATATTCTTCAACAGCGGAGGTAAAAAACAATAAGAAACAAAATGGCAGCGCCCACGGTTAAAAACTGTTGTACGTGTCTTGCTAAAATCAATGGCAAAAAATATCGCCAAATCAGTTCTTCTGCAAGCAGATATTAATCAGAAAGGAAAACATCACGCTGTAAAAGTAAATTATCTATACTTTCTTGCTGGAAATCGTTTAATTTTTCGATGTTGAACTTTTCACGTCGTCTATGGTTGTCGCAATATTGTCTGCAATACCGAACGTCGTACAGAACGAGCGTTTTGATTGATTTTAATCGCCTCATGAAATCGTGAGGCAGCCAATGAAATAGCTGCCTTTGACACACCTCTAATCGACTGAATATCGGCAAAAAATCCCACGGCTGATGAATGTTAATGGTTCGGCCGTGGGTATCCGACGATGCAAAATGATGTATAATTTGCCTTCCATGAACCAAACAAGTTCACATAATCAAATGTAAAATTTATTGTTTAAAATATCAGGCATTTTGTCTCCTCATTTCAAATGGTTATAAATATAACATGCCCAGTGTCATTTATTTAACCTAAGAAGTTCAACCAAGGTCTTACATTTTTGGCAGTAAAATTAAGGAATCTTACCGACAACAGCTCTGTTAGCTGATGGAACAACTTTCTTTGAGCCAGATGGGAGTTTAACTCTTGACTTTTTAGTGTCTGGGTTGTGTGAGATTACTGTAGCGTAGTTGCCAGATGCACGAGCAATCTTTCCACGGTCCCCGGTCTTCTCCTCCAGACAGCACACAATGGTACCCTCAGGCATGACACCAATTGGTAAAATATTTCCGATCTGTAGAGTGGCTAAAACAGAAAATTGTTATAGAATGTATAACCTTAAAGTTAAAATCCATTTCATTGTAACATTTATTCAAACAGACTCATTTCATTCGGATCAATTCCCATCAAAAAGAGTTTTGAATTAATTAGCAAAATGTTAACATTCCCTGTACTTTAAACAATATTTTTAGTTCTTTAAACTTGAATAAAATCCAACAAGGCAGTATGGATGTTGCCATTATCCAGTTCAAATCAGGTGGGATCAGAAAGATTGTGTTCAGCAATGACATTCAGGTCAAAGTGAAGAAAGTTTTTCATTCATCATTTCCATTTTGTTAACTTGCAAGTTGGAAAGTACTGAAACTTAAGAACTATACCCCTAGCACTGATGCAGGTCTGCTGGGTGGAAAAGAATGCAAACTAAACACTACTTGTCAACATTAACAACAGTTCAGTAGAATAGTCTTGCACATTAATAATCTCTTTCACGAATGTATATTGGCTTTTATTGAATGCTTTAAAAAGCTTTTCAACAGTTATGTTTTATTTTTGCAAAAAAAAGGCACGGTAAAATTTTTACAAAATCATCAAGAAATTTTTCTTTGGAAAGTGTTTAGAAAAACAGAAAGAAGTGTTAAGGAAAACAGTGTTATGAAAATGTGACAGTATGTGATTTACAGAAGCTGCCGATAGAATATCAAATAAGTAAACAACAGATGTCTGTGTGTTTTTCCCTTATATAACTGATACGAGAAAATGGCACCGTTCCCAATAGAAAATAGACAGCAAATTTCCCAATTCATGACTGATAAATTCCTAAAATAACACTGAAAATTTCCTAAAAAATCGGCAAATTTAAAGGTAAACAAATGGAAAGTAATGGATGCTTCCATATTAAGTGATGTACGATAAAAACCAAGTATAACCACATGAGTGATATTCATACCCAGTTCATTTCGTACTTTTAATGTTTCACAGCTAACATTATTTATGTGCAATTGTTATGATTATCAGTTTTTTTTCAACCTCAAGTAGCAAAAATAATCATTAAAGTTAATAATACATGGTTTAAAGGTGTATATAATGAAATTTTTCATGTCTCTCCCTAGATAAAAGAAATTCCCAATAAATATTTTGCAGCTTTTTTGCATCTAATATAAAATCCCAATTTGAGTCAAACCGATGGATTTTTTCCCAATCTGTCCGGTACCGGCAACAATCCCAAAGTAGGGGTAAAAAAAAACTAGAAATGTGTCATCATGCCACGGATGCCCCCGCATGCAGCCAAAATTTCAAATGTTATAATATTTAGTTCCAAATTTGTTTGCACAAATTATTTTTTTCATTCTATGTTCAAAGCCCTTAAATAGGTATATACATTTCCACAAAAGTATGAGTGCTGAAACTGAAAGTTCAAATTTTTTCCAACATTCAGGAAAGATAAGTTTGTCCAAAATCATTGAACAACGACCAAATTCCAACTTAAACTGCTTATTCCTAAGATGTATCTATATTATTTTTCAAAGTGAAAGGGAAATAACTCTGCAAAAAATCATCGAACCATGACCACATTCCAACTTGACTGGGCAATTCCTTTGACATATCTATATGTCAATTTTTGAGTTGAATATGTAACACTGTTGGGTTGATAATGAACAGAAACTGTAAATTTCATATCATTTTCAAAGTGAAAGGGGCATTACTCTGCAAAAATCATTGAACCATGACAAAATTCGAAACTTGGCCTGGGCATTCCAAAAATATATATCCATATGTCAAATTTGAGTTGAATGTGTAATATTGTTGGGGAGATAATAAACGAAACTAAAAATTTCAATATTATTTTTAAAGTGAAAGGGGCATAACTCTGCCAAAATCATCGAACCATGACCAAATTTGAACTTGACCTGCGCATTTCTTTGACATATCCATATGTCAAATTTGAGTTGAATGTGTAATACTGTTGGGGAGATAATAAACGGAAACTGAAAATTTCATATTATTTTCAAAGTAAAAGGGGCATAACTCTGCCAAAAATCATCGAACCATGACCAAATTCGACCTTGACCTGTATTTTCTCATGACATATCCATATGTCAAGTTTGAGTTGAATGTGTTGTACTTTTGGGGAGTTAATGGACGGAAACTGAAAATTTCATATTATTTTCAAAGTGAAAGGGGCATAACTCTGCCAAAAATCATCAAACCAAGACTAAATTTGAACTTGACCTGCGCATTCCTTTGACGTAGCCATTTGTCAAGTTTGAGTTGAATGTGTTGTACCATTGGGGAGTTAATGGACGGAAACTGAAAATTTCATATTATTTTCAAAGTAAAAGGGGCATAACTCTGCCAAAAATCATCGAACCATGACCAAATTTGAACTTGACCTGTATTTACTCATGACATATCCATATGTCAAGTTTGAGTTAAATGTGTTGTACCGTTTGGGAGATAATGAACGGAAACTGAAAATTTCATATTATTTTCAAAGTAAAAGGGGCATAACTCTGCCAAAAATCATCGAACCATGACAAATTTCGAACTTGACCTGTATTTACTCATGACATATCTATATGCTAAATTTGAGTTCAATATGTGCAACCGTTATTAAGATAATGAACGGAAACTGATGATGACGGAAGGACGGAATGACGGAATGACGGAACAGGGTAACACTATATGCCCTTGCCATTATATGGCGGGGGCATAAAAATGGATGAGCATACTATGTGTAATCATTGAAATTTTAGAATAAAATAAGAATTTGAACAAATATACAGCTGGGGTTCTTGCAACTTTTGACATTACCAATATTTTGTTTCAAAGACATTATAAACAATATTGGCAATCTTTAGTACAATTTACTGGATTAAGCCTGTACTTCTGCATAAGAATGTTTTCTCACTTCAATGATCTAAAAATTCACCAGGTGCATAATTTCTTTAGACACCACTCAGTAGGCTGAGCTTGTAAGACGCACTTATCACTTTTTTGGCAAAATATTCATGACCAAAACTGCGTCTTAGAACTGCGTATGTACGGTAAAAAAAACTGATGCATGTCATGCCCAATACCTTTCTTTCCACAGTAAATGAACTGTCCTGTGTACATGCCTTCAGTGGCAATGAATGTTTCAGTGTTCTGTCTGTACCTGTATGGATCGCGGAATGTCACCTTGGCAAGTGGAGCACCACGTCCTGGGTCATGTACAATGTCCTGAAAAATAATTAGACATGATAACCATCAGTAAGTCTTACCTTATATTTAAGCTGTTTAAGTATGTAAAATTTCTAGACAGCCCATTTTTTTACATTTGTGATCATCGTGAAATGGTGTATTTTCAGTCTGTAGAATTATTTTACAATAAAGGCAAATATTTACGATTTAAACTTTATGATTATCGATTAACCAACTGTCAATTAGACTCCAACATAAAACAACTTCTGAAGTTCTCAAGTAGGTAGTGTTTTTAAAGGTGTTCTTCTGTATTTTAATCTGAAAACATGACAATTATTAATAATCTTAACAGCTGCGATTGTTCGTTATCGGAATGCCCCACCTATTATCATTGAGTAATATTGAAAATTACAGCGCCCTACTAGAAATGACACTGAAAATTTCATTGACAGGTATAGATTTCAATATATTGTTTAATTGTATTTTATTTGATTTTCTTTTAAATATACACATGTAGTCTATAGCTGGGCAAGCCAAAGCCTGGGCCCCCTTCGCCTTAGTCCAATCTGTATCAGATGTTACAGGCTTGTTCTAGTTCATGTCGATCAATCCTGACGCGTTAATAGTTATTGCTCACAAAAGCACAGCATCAAATTCTTTTTTTAAAAAATTCAAGTTTATTCAAAAGATTATCTTCTTTTCTCTCAATTTCATGT